TTGCACTCTGCGAGGAAGAGAGAGAAAAAGAGAAAGAGAATCTCTCGCCAGTCCCATGCTGCATCCACTCTCTGCCTTTATGCATCGTTCTTTCGTACAACGTCGCACGCATGCACAAATCAACATTTACACAGAGACGGATTCGCGCATAGAAAAGCTTCCATGGGACGGTTCGTTATGACTAACGGTTCGTTTTACGTATCCGAGGGAAATATACGATTTTTTACGATGGCACAGCCTTCATGTGCCCTCCTGCATGGTTCTCTCTACCTTCAACCATCTCGCTGTCTCATTCCGCGAAAGGGATACGAGATAACAGGATGCAACGAAATGTTATCCATTCGTTCGGTTTTAACAGCGAATCCATGGTGTTAGTGATTGGTACGCAGTGCCGTGGTTTATCGATGTTCTGTGTGGCTAAAATTTTTTTCTGTTTTCACGGCTATGACAAATATCGATACATTTCATCGGAGTGTCGCCGCAAGAGCGGGAATCGCCGGAAAGAGCAGAGTCATAATATACAGCTTTCATCACTTTCGAAGGGCGCAATGAAAGAATCCCAGATATAACATTTCCATGAGGAAAATTAATATGCCTTGTGATTCGCAAAGTAACGCACAAATTTTTAATCAAGAGCATGAAGTTGCGGAAATCGTGCATTCCTTTTGGAACACAGAGAAAATTAAGAAAAATTAGAAGAGATTTTAATGTGAATTTTAATTTAATAATATATAAAAATTAATGTGCGATATAAACGATTAAATAACTCTTCAAGAAAATTAAAGAGCCATCGGTACTGAAACAGCGGTAAATATATCGATTTAAATTTTATATACAGGGTGTTCTTAAACTGATGATAAACATTTTAACGACAGATTCTTTGTAACATTTAAGATGAAAAGTCTAATATGAAAATTTCAAGGCTATGATAGTTTTCAAATGAAAAAGTTTAAAAATTACGAATAACAGGTTAGAATTTCATGCGCTCAGAAATGACAAGATGATCAGTGTAAAGATGCCAAATTTTGTCATTGCCAAAGGCATAAAATTCGAGGAAACATCAGTCATCTTACCTTTCTTGAACACGCGAAATTCTAGCCCTATTATTCGTAATTAAAAAATTTTTTTCATTTGAAAACTATTATAGTTTCGGTATTTTCATATTAGACTTTCCGTCTGAAAATGTCACAAAGAATCTTTAAAATATTTATTATCAATTTTGGAACGCCCTGCATAATTGTCAAAAGATAATAAAAACAAAGTTAATATATAAACGTCAGAAATTTTAGAAACATATTAAATAAGTATTACGTATAAAATTCGTGAGAAATATAACGCATGTGCTATTTTGGGCCATAAACTTACGACTAATCTCAGTGCGATATTATGTGTCGTTATAGATATACAACAACAACAACAACAACAATGTAAACTGGTAAAACTTTATCGACGGGTTTACGCAGTTCATGCGGTTACAACGGTTTTCGCTCAAACGCCCCCTATTCTGAACAGCAACGTTGGGATGTTGCTGAATTGCATGAGCGGCATTTGTCGGAACTGCGGTGAGCTATTACTGGGCCTTTTACTAGCATGTGGCATAGACCATATCAGTATAGACCATAGACAGCAACATCCAGACGGAAAACGCGGTGGGAAATCGTCGGGAGGTGAAAATCTTCGGATAGACGTGGACGAGAAAGGAGGCGCGCGGTTTGCGACGAGAACGGGTAACCGGGAAAGAACGAAGAACAGAATTTGAATAATTCAATCGCAGAGGAGAGTCGGACGCGGCGTTAAATAAAATAACGTGGCAAAATGTTGGAATAAAGCTGGCGATGGCTCCCAACGTCGGTGCAATCGTTTTGGGGAGAGGGGACTGCCGTCGACGGTACCGCGATCCAATTTTCTCTGCTGCCGCTTCGGGGACTTCGCCGACGTCCCCGCTCTTTCTTCCTTCCGTCCTTCTCTCCTTCACCTACGAAGGGACGAGCGAACCCCCGGGCCGGTAAAAAATGCCTCACGGCAATTGGACAGGCGTAACATGCGCGCCCTCAACAAGGGCTCGTTTTACAAGAAATATGCATAAATCCCCACGATATATGTCTTGTGATCCGGTACCCAATATTACCAGGTTGCATTATTCACCAGGATACGCGAGCATACGCGCGTAACGCGTTGAGTGTTTTAACAAGCTAATATTCTGATTTGATCAATTGTTTTTTTTTCTTGCGGGAGATATCGTATGAAATTTTTGTTAACTATCTTTCCACACGCATACATATATAAAATCTATTTCCATATATGAAATATACGTCTATCGTATTTTTTCATTAATGTAGTCTCCATGTCATATTTCAGAAATATTAATTATATAGTATTATTTACGGTGCATTTCTCATTAAACCCCTGAGACAATCGATTATCCACATTACTAACAAAATTTATGTGATTTATTAGCGAAGGTTTAATCGAGATCTCTTTATCATAAAATACCAGAGAGAGAGATTCTCTTTCTCGTTTATCGCTATAATTATAACCGAGTTAAAATTTCAATGTGTGCTTATTTTCGGATTATTCCAAAAATATATTGTCTGCATTTTATCGGCCACATTGCAACCGTTCTTCTGATCCGAGGAGATACGATTTCCATTGTGGGGAAGCATCCTACTTAAGAATGTAGAATTTGAATGAGCCACCGGTGGACGATTACAGTTCCCGAATGTGCGGTGCATTGTGCAAGAGGACAAGAGCGGACAAATTCCAGCGACCTTTTCACGAGTGTAAATACTAAAGGGGTCGCGCAATAAAACGGGCTGAATTAATCTCGCGACGTATTCACTCGGAAGAGGCGGCAGATGATTATGGAACCGGTAACCGAGACGATAAAGGGGGATGAAAGAGGGTGGATAAAAGTAATGCGCGACCGTAGAGTGCGGTGGTGGCGGGTGATGGTGGAAAAAAGTTTTTGGCGGGTAGTAAATTGAACGCGCGGTTGCGCATGGTAACATAAAATTAAAGGGAAGCTGCTTTCGACGGCGACGGCGACGACTATGTGGCTACGCGGCGACTGATGCAGTTTCGCTGCTATCAGACCTGCCCCTTTGAAGAGGATTAGTTTACGGATAGTTTTAGAGGTAGACGCAATCGCGGTTTCGGTCTCCACCGAGATCCGTCTAATGGCCATTGGGCTTTCGAGCTAGTTTCGCTTTTGAATACGAGCCAACTACAAGGTAGGCCGTATATACGAACCACTTTTTATATCTCGCGCATATCGCGCGGCATGAGTCCGCCGAAATATGGAACGTCATGTATCCTCGTCGTTTTCATACATCATGCGAAAGGACAGACTTCTGCGATTAAAATGCTTTCGGAAATAAACGCGATCGGGGAATGACATCCATTGGATGGGGAAATAGCTCTTTTCCGCAAGGCTCGGTAATACTTTTTATCCGTCGGTTGCGGATATTAAAATCTGTAAATAATTTAACAGCAAAATTTTCAATTCGGCATTGCTAATGGTATCATTACATTTAAATTACTAACCAGAATTTTACGATTTTTTTAATAATAGAATTTATTGCATTATCTCAATTACATTTCATTATCTCGCAAGACAAATTCTTATGACATTAATAACATAACGTAAAATGTACCTATGCATTCTGATGCAGTTCCATTACCGAGCTTAAAATTTTAATTTTTTAATGCTTGCGGGTGAACTGAACGAATATAATTATCTTTATTACTCCAGCTTGAAATTTATATTACATATCTATAAATAATAACTTTTTATATTCAATAATTCAATACCTACATCCAAGGAAATAATTTAACGGAAAAGTAATGTCGTATAAATCATGAAGAAGTGATTTATAAATACTTATTATAACTCATAAACGTATGCTTGTATGATCGAAACATTTTCATTATACAACATGTCAGTAATTTGAACTAATAAGTAGTTTGGTGTGTAATGACAGTGTGGCGTCTTTAATACCGCCGCTTCAAACTTTTCGTCTCACGAAGTTATGATACGCATACTCGCGTGAAGTTGCAAGACGTGTTCGTGTAAATTTCACTTCACGCGCCGAGATTATGCCATGAAGACAGGCAGTTTTACTACGTGCTTGCTGAAATTTGTCGGTGTAAATGAAATTATTGTGAACAATGCCAACGAGTCTTCTCGCATGCAGCCATAATTTAGTCTAATAAAAGTGTAAACTTTTATTCGGAAATCGCTATATTAAAAAATTGTGAGCAAGTAGATAGAAGGCATCTTCTCCTATGACGTATTATATAAAAAGAGTCTTATTGTTCGATTTTATTAGAAAACAATGTATTTAACGAGAAATGTCACATACGTTAAAAGATTCGAAGTTGTTTTCTTTTCCACGCACTCGAGAGGAAAATATCGTAAGAAATGGCTGTAATAAAATCTAAGACGTTTGTAAACAAGTGAAAAAAGTAGTATGAAACAACAAATACCGTTGATAATCTGTCGGATCGCGATATGACACGAAAAATATGTCGAAAGTTATGTCGGCCATGCTTTTATTAAATAAACTGTTTTAATTAATACAAAATTTTTTAAAAGTTAAAAAATTTTTTAAAGATTAAAAAAATTAATTTCCTATGTAATTAACATTAAAAAATAAAAGAATAAAGTTTCTAGAAATCGGCGCTGTAATTAGTACACTTTAGAAAAACAATATTTAATATGTCAACATTAAAAAATGTTAAATAAGTTAACATTAAAATCGTTTGTATAACGTACATTTCGGTCAATCTCAGACCATTCATCAGCGTAAAAACAAAGCCGTAAAAATACTTGTATCACATTAGATTAATCCGCGCATTTTATTAAAATCTAATAGATTTCTCTCCGATTTTGATAACTTCATCAAATACGCCGAGTTAAATTTAATTACCGGTATATACGGTGCTATATACGAGTTACAAATCCCTGTCACAAACAGGACACTGTTGATAATAATAACGACAATAAACCATTTCGTGATGCTGCTGCAAATTCATCTACCTCGAAATTCGCCGACTCTCTTGATATAAAGTGATGCGCATTGTCTCGAGGCGGCTGGCAGATGACGTCAAACTCGATTGTGCTAGATGAAGTTCAATGTATGTACGACGCATTCGTCGGCATATTTAGTTTACATAATAATATCAATCTGTGTCACATAATTATTTCAGACAAATGTTATTACGTGTTCAACACCAATATAAAATTATTTTCCTATCAATTAATTCGAAAGTAATTAATTTCGAAATTTCCCTATTGAGAACTGTTTCAACATATAATATAATGAAATATTAATTGTAATCCATGTATAATAAAATTTCAAAAGTTACTAATTCATTAAAAAATGCTTATATAAAATATTTAGATCTTTTTCAAGTATATGAGTACAATTCATAGAGAAGCTGTGCTGTGATGAAGTCTGCAAATTTATAACTAAAAATACGCAAAAAATGTCAAAAAACATATATTCCAGACTAAACATATTTGGAAATATTTTTTTAAAATTAATTTTTGAAAATATTGACATTTTTTTATTTATTTAAATATCTATAATAACATATTTTTTTAACAATAATTCTTTAGATCCAATAATTGTTATTAGATTCGAAGAATTATTATTTAAAAAAACAATTCTTATGTTGGGTATTTAAATAAATAAAATATATCAATTCTCACAGACGTCAATTTTTTAAAAATATTTCCGAACTTTTGACCTGGAGTGTATTTGGAACTTTCTCTTGAACGACTCTCTTCGCTATCTTTGTCTCTTTTGCTTTATCGACATTCTATCATTGCTCAAGCGACAATGCACTACCTAATCAACAAAGAAACTCCCTGCAAGGCTCTTTTTTAATCAAACGGAGTTCTTTTAGTACCACAAATAGGCGCACACAGGCTGGCGCAAATAAACGCACTGGCGCTACTGTTTCTGTGACAGTTTCATGAACAAAAAAAAAAGAGGAATACGGAGATGGAAAGGAGAGAAAAAGAGAACTCGCGCGTGTGAGAGTGCACGTACGTGAACGCATCGTTATCACGTGAGTGAACGACACGCGTGTCCGGAGCCAGTCAACGTTAATTACTACGGAATCGGTATCCCCGGTTGCTGTAAGGGAATGATTCATAGCTGGCGAAAAGGGCTTCGAGAGTGCAAACGCGACTACTACGGTGCCCTTTAGGTCGTATTTCTTTTGTGACGATCGGTCGCAATTCAATGTGACTCACGCCACGCGTTTTTAATTGGACGGCTAAGTGGATGAGGCGCGATGCGACGATGCTTTAAGTTTCTTCAGATTACTGACGAGTAGCTACTCGGTACTGCTGGATTTTCTTACAATTAGTAAAATAAAAAATTAGCAAGTAAGGAGATTAAAAACATTTTTCATGTTCCTTCTACAAACAAGCCAAGTCTGAAAATACATAGGACGTAATTTATATATATAGAAATATCTTAACTTTTGTAAAAGATGCTGCAATATTTTCTCGATAAATTAATACAACGCATACCAAGTTTTGTGCATGAAGAAAGTGTGAACTTTAATTAAAACCGCTTTTTCAGCAAAGTTTACAAGTTAATTCTTGCAAACTGGTTATACGAGTCTTCGTAATTAATATACAATCGTTCCTCATTACTGCGAACATGTGAAAAATTATTTAGTTTCAATTTTTTTTTAAATCAATTTTATAAGTTTATATTTTTACATGTTCGATACCCTGAAGAACACGAACACGAAATTCTCGCTATTTTCAAAATCGTCGATCGACCTAATTGATTTGCCGTTGCATTCGCGTCTCTGACCCCCCGTTAGGACCCCCCGTCGGGACCACTTTCAATCTACACAGTTATGTCTCCTTAGTCTTACTTCATGGTTTGTCCCATCTGTCCCGTCCATCCCATGAAGTAAGACTAAGGAGACCTAACTAGATAGGATAAGGAGAAAAAAGTTGGTCACGAAAAATGTTCCGTGTACTGCCATGTGTCCGCCGAACGGAATAACTTGCAACATTCCATCGCCATATTGAATATTTATATGTGTGCAGTATACTTGCGACTGTGTCATACATATGTGTATTAAATACGTGTCTCCTAAAAAGTAGAGTAGCTTGCCCTCCTAAAATCTTAATAAAAATATACCCATTCGTCGCGTTTTCACTCAGAACGAACGAACTTCCATTATCGTTCTTTATCAAAAGCTAAAAAGTAATAAAATATATTATTTTTATATGAATATTGGGTCCATTATTGTCAATTTCCATTATTTATTTATTTTTATTTTTTTTCCATTATTTTCGGAATGACAAATATCCTAACCTAACCCCCGTCTCGGGGGCGGCAAGAGTTGCAACGCGCCACGGTTGCAACCGCCAGTGCGCGGGGTCGCCGTGAATAAATAACGAGCCCGCGGTTTTATCTCGGCGGTTACATTCGGCCTTTAACATTTTCCAGTCGCATTAGCGCTTGCGGATGACAGTACCGTAACAATGCGGCCGCTTTTCCGCGCGTCGCCGAGCGGAATGGCCGCGCCATACCGGGCGTTGCCGCTTCGCCATCGAGCGTGGTCGAGAACCAGTGAGGAGGTTGCACGCAGGAGGATGCGATTCCGTGAGAGAGAATAAAACGAGCACTGGGTCGGAGGTAGTCAACCAAAAAGGAGCTCGAAACATCCTTAAGCCGCGATAATAATTATGGCCGCCAGCAATTAGTATAAATCGTCAGCCAGCTCTAATTGCCTTATTTATTCGCGGTTGGGAAAAGGTTGCATAACATTGTGGATGCACCTGCGGCCGTACTTTACACTAAGAAATCATCGCTGTTGTCATCATTATTGTTCCAAGCAAAAGCCCCTTTACGAAGCTAAGAAAAATCTAGAAGCGTGTTTACTTAAAAAGGATTTTCGTTCCTTCTTATTTGTATGTGTTCCTTTCGCCTCAGGATATATGTTTTCTTTTTGCAGAAACATTTTCCATTATTTAAAACATCAATTTTTGTCTCTTAAAATAAAAAGCTGCTGTTATATCCGAATATTTATTTGCATTTTCGTGCATAATAACGAATGCAAGCAATTATTGGGAAACTCATTTAATTCTCGTTTATATGCGTCGTTTGTCGTAACTACGATATGAACGGCGCATTAAAGTCGCGTATTTGAAGAGCCATTGGCACGATGTACGGAATATAAGTCTACGAATTATCAAGAACATTATGCGTTATTGAACATATTTTACGCCAGATTTGTCGCGCTTATCTATGTCGTATAACTGCGCTCGCTGTCAGTCGATGTGACACACTCGGAATACTTTTCCAATCCCATGCGGGTACGAGATATATATTTGATGTCACTCGCATTCCCGGTTCTTTTGTGCGTCGCTGTAAACACCAAACGTTGAAAATTCTTTCCCTCTCCCTCGTTCGCCCTCTCTCCTGTTATACATGTGCTTCTACTCTTATTTAGATCTCTACGTCATAAATGTTGTTTCCCGTCTGGCATGCTTCCGCTTTAAATCTCCAATCGAGTAATGGATTCCTTCTCTCGTCGACGTAAATAAAACAACGGGAAAGTATGTATGTGAAAGTGCGACCCGCGCAATAACAATTCGGAGATCAAGGAGCTACGTTTCCTCTCCCATACCTTTTTTCGTACTGCAAAAAATATTTGCAATAGATCAAACGCGAGAATGTTTTTATTGCGCATCCACCTACATTTCCGCCGCAGCTTCTGACTCGATCCGCATACAGCTCGGGCTAGTATTTTGTTTTATTTTTTCCCCTTTTTTTGGCGATGTATCAAAAAATGGAGAATGTGATAGGATACGGGCCCACCATTGAGCGTTCGTTATTCTATTTGCGCAGATATTTCGCGAACATCAAATGTCAAAATAATTCTCTCGTAATGCAATCCATTTCAAATATAATTTCTGATAAGGTTTTATCGTAGGTTGCCACGCTCTATTATAGATCTTCTATTTTTCACAGCAGCAGCAAAACAAATAGAATAACACTGGGTATGGCAGTTAATGGCTAGCCTATGGTTACTGCATTCCTAGTTAGTCTTAACAGGTGGCAGTGTAATTAAACCACGTTACGGTTATGTCAGGTGTGTCGAGCCTGGCTGGGAATTATACTTGCTTTCATTCCTGCGTTATGACCGCCTGTCGTTCGTACATTTGTTATGAGTCTCATACGAGAGCAATAAACTACAGATGTAATAAGAGCAGCAATTTAGTAGAGAATTTTGATTAAACCTTTGTAAATATGACTTGTACGTGCACGTAAAATATTTAAACTTGATACTATTTGTGTCATTCTCTGTCCTTGTTTTATGTCTAATAAACGATGAAGAAGAATGGCACAAATAGCTCCTCGAACGTAACTGAAGACGATTACGAATTTTCAATAATTAGCATTCAATAATAATTAGCATTAAAAATAAATAAGCAGTATACCTTGAATTTGTATGGCAGTAATTAAAAATAAAAATGAATTTAACAAAATAAAAATATAATTAAAATTATATTAATGATAAAAATATATATATATTAATGATAAATTGTAATAATTAAGAGTTAAAATGATTATAAATTGTAATTTCAAAGTATAATTATACTTTAATTATAATTAAAGCTTTATAATTGACTTATTATATTATTTTAATTTCCTACTTACTATATTGATTTTGTACCTATTAAATTTTTATAAATTTAGAATTGCTTCCAAACTTTTAAATAGTAATGTATATGTATATAACAATATAATATTTAGAACGATTTAGATAAATCAATCGCATGCACATTAAAAAGAATGTTAAACACGATAATAATATATAATATTAAAAAAAAGATCCTGAATTATTATATAATATACAGTAAATTTATCGAGAGTACACATCTACCCGAAAATCGATTAAACATTCGCAAAGTACATTCGCTTTCTTTAATATAATTTTGTGCCGAAAAACTTTCACAGAGCTCTTGC